AGAAAAGTAAGTTTGTCAATAGAATAAACACTTACATCCATGGCCTTTGATGCGTTGAAGTAACACAAACGTAGTATTGATAGATCCACTGCGGTCAAACGACCATACACTAACTCCATGACTGCAGTTGCTTAGTCTTATATAGTACCAGTGAGTAATAATTCTAATCTAAAGAATTTCTGCAGTAGAATTGATAGTAACTTTATGCGTCAACAAGCTTATCTCACATTCTGTTGCTTATCTCTACATTCCTACGTCCTTCCTGTCGTGTCTTGTTCAGTGTATGGATGACTCAAATACGTTTTGTATAACACAAAGAATGCAATTTAATATTTAGAAATCACTAAAATTGATCATTCCTATATTAGTCATTGAGTAGATTGGTACTGTAATAAATCTAATAATAGCAGTAATATTATGGGTACACTAGATGTACAACAACATCTGAAAAAGATTCACCCCACTCTAGAAAATAATGTTTATGCTGCCAATAAACTACCCATGTACACCCACGTACCAACGTATATAATATGCAATTTGGATACAGATGATAAACCAGGGTCACATTGGGTAGCTTTATAAATCGATACGAATGACGTCGGTCAATATTTTGATTCATTCGGACGGGCACCTGTACGATATCATCTAGAGTTTTTTAAAAGAAATTGTAAAAGATGGAACTGGAATGTTGATAGGATTCAGAATGAGTGGACTTCAGTTTGTTTGTTTGGCGTGTGTAAAACGATATTTTAGTGGATGAGATGTTTCGCTCCTATTTTATAGATAAGTAATAAGATTTTGTATTTTATAAATAAAATTTTTAATAAAATTGGGTAATGTGTTTTATTAATGAGTCAGATTAGTGTAGATAGGAACAAAGGAGAACAATAGCACCACGCTGAGGAAGAATAGATAATGACGGTATTGAACGAACAATAGATAAGTAGATAAGAACAAGGAGCGCTAATGACGGTGGAGGCCCGCACCGGATATCAATTAGATAAGAGTTAATCGATCTGCACATCTCCGGAACCGTGCATCCTACGCAAAAATGGATCGCAGATTCGTGATCAGAGCATGCCAAATTTTTTTTTAAGGATCCTGAGTCGACGAACGTCGTACTTGTACCACTTCTGACTCAGTGCGCCAGAACTGGTACAACTTCTTACTCAGTGCGCCAGAACTGGTACAACCTAACTACTCATAATATACACAATTTTATTTCCATATTTACATTTCATTTTTACGTAGGCACACTATGCCAACATAAAAAGGTTGAAATAAAAATGAAAAACAGAAACACTTCAGGCTTAAGGAAGCATCTAATATCTTTCCACAAAAAGGAATCACAAATATTTCTTCCTGAAAAACAAAAATTAGTGGAGATATCACAAGTTTTTTAATAACCACCGGAAAAAGTGGACAGGTAAGAAAAAATATACTTATCACACAATTACATAACACATATATTAAGTAACTAGCGGCCGCTTGCGACTTCGTCCGTGTACAATATCCGACTTCCTATGAGATATTGAAATTTTCTCGCTGCAAAAGTCTTACCTAAGTATAAAGAGGCTATATAGGTAAAGCTTAACTATGCATTTATTATTTAAAACTAAAAAAGTAAATGTCGATCTTCATATCTATAATTTAAAAATATGGGACTTGCATGTAACCATTTTACCCCAATTTCGCCCCCTTAGGGTTAGGATTTCGTAAAACAGCTTATTCAGGTTTTTATTATTGAAAATTTATAACTTTAATGCCGTTTTTCGTGTCTCTAACACTTCAAAAACGTAGAACTTTCATACAAACTTCCAACTCCCATTTCACTCCCTTAGGGATAGATTTTCTCAAAACCGTTTCTTAACTGATCTCTATGCCATAAAAGGAACCTACCTTACAAACTTCAAGTTTGTATGTTTTATAGTTCCTGAGATATCGTTATAGTCAGTCAGTGAGTGGTAGTTATATATATATATGTCCTCTCTGACGTAAACGCAAACTCCAGCCCGAGGCACAAAGGAGTGTTCCAGTTTGTACCCCGGGTAGGAGAGATACGAGAAATCAGCCGGAGAGGACACCTGCGTCTCGGTCAGAAAGAGCAGAGCCGGCCTCGCCGTCTCGAGATGGTAGTGAACGGCGTTTAGGTTAGAGTGAAGTCCCCTGATATTGCAGAAATTCACGGACAGCGTGGCAGAGGTCGCCTTGGTTTTGTTGCTCCGTTTGCCCAGATCAGTTGTAGTCTTGAGCGGAATTTTGCCCCCCCCCCTCCAGAATACGCGGGGCAGCCTGAGTACCCACGCTCAGAAGTGGAGAAACATGATCGTGGATGCTCAGCGAGGGATTCTCCTGCGGTGCTGGTACCCTCCTGGGGTAGTCATCATTTAATTCCGTATCATCATTTAATTCCGCTACCATGTTGATGGGGGGGGGATTTGGGCCTCCGGCCACCTGCACTCACCAGACGAAACGCGGAAGCAGAGCTTCCACTTCACGCCGGTACTCTGTGAGGTCGTGGTACCACCCCGGTTTGAGCCGGCCCATACGTACAACAGCAAAGCTGCCGCGTGGCTCTACCACTGTTAAATGTGGTAGGTTATTATTTATGCTAGAAATTATTGTTTTTATAAGATTAAAAGCTGCTAGCGTTGTAGATTTCTTTTTCTGGAAGGCATGTTGTTCTGTTTTGATTATGTTAAACCTCCTGGTTTTACAACTGAAATTTTTAAATTGTCGGGAAATTTTCCTGTCAAAAATGATAAATTAATTAAATAAATGACTTATTTAATGTCAACAAGTTCGCATACACAAGCTTTAATTATTCTGGTATTAATTCCGTCGTAACCTTCCGAGGCAGTGTTATTTAAGGACATGGTCTCTTTACTCACCTCATCTTTCGACATGGGTTTAAGAAACATTGAGTTTGATAGTGATATTGTATTTTTAGGTGTAATATTTTCCATGATATCATTATTAGTTATAATATAATTAGTCATGTCAATAAAATAGTCATTAAAAGTTCATTAGGTTTTTATCATTTATTTTTAGCTCCTTAATATTATCCAATTTTGTATTTGAAATTTCTTTTTTTATTACGGACCATGTTGCCCTGCATTTATTTTTACTCTTACTTATAAATTTTATGTTACAATTCTTCTTGGATTGGTAGATACATTTTTTCAATAAATAAGAATATTTTTTATAAGTATCCTTATTTATTTTAGTTTTATTTTTATAGTATCGATACCGCAGTGCTCTTTTTGTTCTACAACTTATTTTCAAACCTTTACTAATCCAATTATTTTGATTACTATTTTGTATTAGTATTTTTATTCTTGGGAAACATAGGTTATAAAATAAGCAAAATAAATCATAAAAATTATTAAATGCAATGTTTAAGTCAGTTTCTAAATATGTTTCACACCATGACAGATTATTTAGACATTCCTTGAATTTCCGAACATTACTTAAATTATAATCCCTTTTGCATTTAAAACATATCTTATTTATGGATTTATTTTGTTGAACCTGGAAGCTTAATAACTGAGCTGTATCATGGTCTGATAGAAACAAAGGCAATACTGTTGCAGAAGCATTCTCTATATTATACTTAGAATATGGTATATACATGTCTCCTTTCTAGTTGGAACATTAATATGAATTTTAAGACAGTAATTAAGACATAAATTATGAAGATAAGTGTTGGCTTTTCCTGGCTTAAGAGTATTAATATTTAAATCACCAGTAATTACAAGTTTAGTATTGGCATTATTGTTTTTAAATATTTCACGTAACATTCCGTCTAACTTGTCCAAAAACAGAATTGCGTCTGTAGAGGGAGTCCTATAGAGACAAATTATTAGCAAATTATAAAGAGGAATCTCAATACCACAAACTTCAAATAACTTTTGCGTTGCTAAACTATTTATCTTATTTAATTTTTTATACGCAATATCTTTCTTCACTAAAATACATGTACCGCCTCTAGACTCATCCCTACAGAACGAACTGGCTAATTCATAATTATTAATGTTTAGGTATTTTTCATGATCAGTGCGCAATAAAGTTTCTGAAAGACATAACATCTGGGGCGTTTCCTGCCTTATCTAGTTCATCCAATGTTAATATTAATACATCTTGTTTTGGTAATTATACTAGCAATATTTTGATGTAATATTTTTAAAAGCATCTTATTTGTAGTATTCTTATTCACGAAAAAGATAGTTTTTATTTAATAGTTTAAAGTAATACGGTATTGTATCTTTAGGCGCGGTATTTATATCATTAATATTAGTCACTCCCGAAATAGTTATACTCGATTGCATTCGAGCAAAATAATAGGGAATTGTTCCTTTTTTATATTTGGAGCTGCTGGATTTACCAGATAATAATATCGATTTATTATTACAGCGTAGTATAAACTTTTTTAATTGCTTGGCACTTAGAAATTTGTTCTTATAATCAATATAGTCAATTACGGAATTTATTGATTTACACATAGAATATAAATTATTGGACATGCAATTCACGTAATGGCAGTTTTCAAATTTATTACAAATATTTTCTAAAGTATTATTTAAATCGTTAACACATATGTACTTATTTTTAAACAAACTTAAGACTAGTATACTATTTAACTTGTACCAGGTAATTAATGTGCATATTTGTGAAGATAGTATTTTCAGGTCGTAATCATTTTCTCCCACACACACTATAATTTTATCGTTCGAGGCTATTTGTGTATTATGGATATTTTTTAGCACATCAGGCGTAAGTGCATATGGTTTTATTTCTGAGTAAATGGTATATTTTTCATAAGCCTTATATAGCCGTACTCTTGAGCGTATTAAAGCAGAGGCTAGCCCAATACATTGTTGTGTGCCAAAGATAAATACTTTATCGCAGTTAACATATTGTTTTCTGATGTCTGAAATTACCGTATTAGAGTCTTGTGTAAGTTTTATTGAAGACCCTACATTTTTTGATGATATCTAATGTTACAACATTTGAATTTTTTCATTAAGAATTTTAATTTCGTTTTCAGCGCTCTTTAATTGGTTTTCTAATTCCGAAATCCTTTGTTTTAAGATAATAGCTGTCTCCGCATCAAATACCTTTTCTATTTTTTTCCTTTCAGATAATTTTGAGGGCGTAGAAGCGGTTGGCGAATATAAAACTTTGAAGTGAGCAGAATGAATATTTTTCTCTTTTATTACGTTTTGGTGTTTCATTTGGATATCCTTTATTGGTGATTGACATAGAGTTTTTAGTAGGTTATTTTCTTGTGTTAATTTTGTGATTTGTCTCCGAAGGTCGTTGTTCTCAATTATAGTATTATCCAGCTCATTTTGCGTACTTGCGATCTCTGACCGTAAATTATTTATAGTGTCCTTCATTTCCTGCACCGTAATAGAATCAGCAATTGTGAAGTCATAGCTCCGTGATAATATTTGACTAGGTGTAACCTGGGAATCGTCAGATGAGTGAAGAGTTTTTTTTTATAGAATAGGGTGACAAACGAGCACACAGTCCACCTGATGGTAAGTGGTTGCTGCGGCCCATAGACATCTACATCTATCCTCCATTAAAAATCAAAATGCAGATGCGTTGTCACCCGTGAGGACTGAGATGGAATGCCTCGTTTCCAGTAAAAAGGGTCTCCGGTTCTCTACACTCACCATACGAAATACAGCAGCATTAAGCTACTATTTCACGCTGGTATTCTGTGAAAGCGTGGTCCTTCCCCGGTCGAGCCGACCCATTCGTGCTACAACTATACTACTAATATAACTGCAGCATGGCTCTACCACGTAATAAATATGTGGTTAATATGTGGGAGTCATTTATCGGCGATTCATTCATTTTTGCTACCACTGTTGTAGGTGTCATATTTCCATTCGAACTATGTGAGTATTTTTTTCTAAATGTAACGCAGGATGGATCACCAGTAGGTGTAGATTGCCCAGTAGACATTTGCTTACATGCTTTACATTTCCAATTTTTTCTACTTTCTATATCCTTTAAGCGATAAAGTTTTTCAGAATAGCCAATACAGTCAAATTCATAATATTTTTAAGCTATTGCATAGCTTCTATCGCGGGCCTTGAGTGCGGGAAAATCCAGAAATTCCGTAACGAAAAAAACCTCACGCTCTCCGACGGGCACGGAGGTGTGGCTTGAAGGCCGTGCATTGTCTAACGATGGTCTAACGTCGTTTCTTTTCCTCAGTCTTCGACACGGTGTTTGTGTATAAAGTGTTTTGAAATTTTGAATATGAATGAACAAAGTGCATTTATTATTAATGAAGAAAGTCACGAAAAAAGTAGTGAAAGAAAATGAGTGAGTACTCTATATACATACCTACATTTTATTATTATCACAAATGCAGTACTAATTTTGAATTGAAAATATAATACTGCTATAAAGATAACCTAAATTTTTGATATTAAAATGAGCGATATTAAAAGTAGCCCTCTTTATATACACACAAACACACACACGCGTATAGTTTAAATTCTCAATTTAGATTCTCAATATGTATATATATACTCGATTAACCGGACTAATTGTTGCCGTTAGGGATTAGGATAATCGAAAATCCGGATGATCGAATGTATGAAGAAAAGCGGGTTTTGTGCATTTGTAGTACATATGTACATATATAATGTTATGTGTTTATTAAAAACAACAATTTCAACGAAAATCAATGTTTATTAAGAAATTATTATTTTTTAATAAACATTGATTAAATTCCATGAAGAGATATAAATCTATATAACCATCCGTTACTTGCGACAAACGAGCCGCCGTCACCTAATTTTTTATTTAACTGTAATGCTTTTTCACAAAGCAAAGGGCCAGATATCATTTGCCCAGTTGATCGTTTTTGTAAAAACCAACAATACAAAGTGTCTTCTAATTGCCAATTTACTCGCGGACATAGGTTCTTATGTCCGGGACGGGGGTTTGTTAGCGCCTGATAGTAGATCGTCTTATCTCAAGCGGTGTGAAGCGACGATTAGTGAGGTGCGGGAGGGGGGAGGCTAGCTGCATTTGTGCGCGCGGTCGGTCACCCCTAAAGTTGGGCGTTATAACATACAACAGATAATATATTTCATTATATATTTTTAATCTTACAACACATTAGAATAATGAACCATTGACTGTTATAATATATGAATAATAATGAATATAATTCATTATCGTTAGAAAGCGTCATCTGTTTACGTTTACGGCCCAACCGTCGCGTCGGCCGAGACAATGGGAGTCAATAAAATACTACTTACATTCATTATGCCACAAGGATTGCGTATAGCTTACACTAATTTTAACTCTATACTAATTTAATAAGAGCTTATTTTACTAACACTAAATTATAACGGTAAACAAAAATATATTATTTCCTTCATTAGTTGCCTGTTGTGCCTGTTATTTAATTTGGCTGTTGTAATATATAGTATATCAGTTTAGTGTTCAGTTAACTGTCTAGCTGAGATGACAATGACACTGTTATCTGTTAAATTATATACGTAATGTTTTGATAGCAGGTCCCCATATTACGTGAAAAAGCTATTGTTGTTTTTGTTTATTTTTCGTTAAACAAAACACGAACACAGCCGACGACTGAACTGAACTAACCGCGTGTACAATGTAATATTTAAAACTGTTAAGCTATTGCATAGCTTCTATCGCGGGCCTTAAGCGCGGGGACCGAATCCAGAAATTCCGTAACGAAAAAACCTCACGCTCCCCACTCCGACGGGCACGGAGGTGTGGCGTTGAAAGCCGTGCATCGTCTAAAGTCGTTTTAGTTCGGCAGACTTCGGCACTCGGCAGACTTCGGCACGGGGTTTGTGTGCGTGTACACTAGCTGCTAACTCAATGATAAAAATACCTGAATAACCTACAAGTATTGAAAGATATTAAAAATATTTTAAACAATTTTAACTTCTCATTTATTCAATAAGAGAAAAAAAAATGTTTTCTTATCGGTCACCACGCTCAAAAAGTGTAACTTGATTTAATATCAAAGACTTAACTGCAGAAATTTTTATTTTTGCTTTAAAATTTTTATACGTGGTAGAGCCATGCTGCAGTTATATTAGTAGTATAGTTGTAGCACGAATGGGTCGGCTCGACCGGGGAAGGACCACGCTCTCACAGAATACCAGCGTGAAATAGTAGCTTAATGCTGCTGTATTTCGTATGGTGAGTGTAGAGAACCGGAGACCCTTTTTACTGGAAACGAGGCATTCCATCTTAGTCCTCACGGGTGACAACGCATCTGCATTTTGATTCGTAATCGAGGATAGATGTAGATGCCTATGGGCCACAGCAACCACTTACCATCAGGTGGACTGTGTGCTCGTTTGTCACCCTATCCTATAAAAAAAATAATTATAATTGCATAAGTTGATAAAAAATGCTATGCAATAGCTTTACCGCGGCAGTCATCGAGTGCCACACGTATTTTTTTACATATTAAACATAGCAGTGAATTTTTAGCTTCAATAGTTTTTTTACATTTATTACAACTTACAAGTGATGACATCTTACGGATGCTATTTTTTGAAAGACTTTGGTTAGGCATCATAGAAATTTAACGTTGATATTATATATAATTTTTAAAATATTTTAAGATTTTTCTTACGATAGATGTCGCAGTTCTTTACTGATTATATATATATTCATTTTCAATCTTGTGTCGTTTATAATCTGTCTCCTTTAAAACCGAATCTGTCTTACAACTAAATCTGTCTTAATGTTTGTTGGAAATGTAGAAAGAAAAAGATAGGTACGCTTTGTTTGTCCGAACTTGAACCGTCTACAACTTCAGGAATCGAATGAGACACCGAACGGCGAAACCACTACACCATCACTACATTAAGCTATATCGGCGAATTTGAGTAATATGCTCTGTATGTTGTCAAACTTTCACTATTTGTAATTAGACCGGTAATTTTGTCGTCGGATACTTTTTCGATTCACCGTCAGTATTAAAAATCAAAGTCTTTCTTTAATATTAGTACACAATTTGTATAGTGTTTTTTAAAGTAAACTTACGTAGTTTCAGTTGAAGGTGCTTGGTTTTTGCTTATATATCACGATAAACTTATTTTATTGTTAAGTTAATTATTGTTGAGTTAATTAAGTTAATTACTGTCTTAAAATTCATATTAATGTTCCGACTAGAAAGGAGACATGTATATACCATATTCTAAGTATAATATAGAGAATGCTTTTGCAACAGTATTGCCTTTGTTTCTATCAGACCATGATACAGCTCAGTTATTAAGCTTCCAGGTTCAACAAAATAAATCCATTTAAGTAATGTTCGGAAATAAAATATATATATAGATTATAGTGTTAAATATGTATTTATAATTCACTCATATTATCGTAGTCGGTCATGGCGGATGTGTGTCATGCAAACATTACCTGCGTATATTAAATTCGTATAACTATGACAAATTAATTTTACAAGTGCTAAAATATTTTCAATAGTGACAGTGAACTCTAATCTCCATGTGTAAGTGAAATTTAACTGTTTCACAGAACCAGTAAACATATAAATTGTTAATAAACATACCGAGTATACACAGCAGTCATTAATAATGGCTAAAATACCATAATTCTTAACAATAAAATAAGTTTATCGTGATATATGAGCAAAAACCAAGCACCTTCAACCGAAACTACGTAAGTTTACTTTAAAAAACACTATACAAATTGTGTACTAATATTAAAGAAAGACTTTGATTTTTAATACTGACGGTGAATCGAAAAAGTATCCGACGACAAAATTACCGGTCTAATTACAAATAGTGAGAGTTTGACAATATACAGAGCATATTACTCAAATTCGCCGATATAGCTTAATGTAGTGATGGTGTAGTGGTTTCGCCGTTCGGTGTCTCATTCGATTCCTGAAGTTGAAGACGATTCAAGTTCGGGCAAACAAAGCGTACCTATCTTTTTCTTTCTACATTTCCAACAAACATTAAGACAGATTTAGTTGTAAGACAGATTCAGTTTTAAAGGAGACAGATTATAAACGACACAAGATTGAAAATGAATATATATAATTAGTAAAGAACTGCGACATCTATCGTAAGAAAAATTATATGTAATATCAACGTTAAATTTCTATGATGCCTAACCAAAGTCTTTCAAAAAATATCAGCCGTAAGATGTCATCACTTGTAAGTTGTAATAAATGTAAAAAAACAATTGAAGCTAAAAATTCACTGCTATATTTAATATGTAAAAAAATATTATGAATTTGACTGTATTGGCTATTCTGAAAAACTTTATCGCTTAAAGGATATAGAAAGTAGAAAAAATTGGAAATGTAAAGCATGTAAGCAAATGTCTACTGGGCAATCTACACCTACTGGTG